TATATATAATATATATATATATATATATATATATATATATATATATATATATATATATATATATATATATATATATATATATATATATATATATATATATATATATATATATATATATATATATATATATATATATATATATATATATATATATATATATATATATATATAATATATATATATATATATATATATATATATATATATATATATATATATATATATATATATATATATATATATATTTTGGCCCAGCCAAGTGGGATCAGTTTTCTGTGATTCCCCCCACAGCCCTGTACTCAGACATTACTCTTCTCTGCCAACAATGTCTCCAAAAGAAGTAGCTAAAGTTTCCTTTTGCAGTCATTCAGATCATTCACACCTTATTACAGTTACACCTTAGTCTCAAGCTTGTGCACAATCTACTCTGACTGACCTTACTGGCAAACCTACTCCTCCCCTTGAAGTTTATACTGGTTGTCCTGCCCTGTCCAATCATATCAACCCCTTCCCCATCAGTGTCAGAAATGTTGGCATTTTGGCCACCCTGCCAAACACTGTTGCTCTACAGCCCACTACCCTCTGTGTTCCCAATCTGGTCATGACCGTTCAAATTGCTCTGCTCAGTCATGCGTGTGTGCTAATTGTGATGGATCCCTTAATCTCTTTTATTGGAGCTGCCATGTCTAACATTCAAATGTGTGGTGGCAGTTGCTCAGATTCAAACTAGGCCTCACTCTCCAAGAGGCCAGAAAAGAAGCACGCCAGCAAAATTTTTCTGTTTCTAGTTATTCCAAAACTGTACTTTGCTCTTCTAAAGAAGTCTCAGCATCTCCCCCAGTATCTCTTCCCTCTACCCCAAACCATCCTATCTCTACTTCCTCTCTCACCCAGTCAAATTTCTTTTCCAGTCTAAATCCAGATACTCCAATCTCTACCACTTCTCCGGTGCCTACCGCTCCCCCTTCTCACTCTACTTGTTGCACTAGACAATCTAAACATTCCACTCCATCTTCTCCTACCACATCCTCTCCTATACCCATGTCTCCCTCTGCTCCTCAGACATCTATTCCCTCTTCTCCTCCATAGAAGAAAACTTTTGTTTCTCAGACCTCCCCACCCAACTCCCCTCCAGAAACGTTCCAAAACATGACACGAGTGTGATCCACTCCCTCATCCACCCTCTTATTCCTATTTTCTCTACATTCAAAGTATCTGCTTATATCCATCTTCCTCCTCCTCAACTTCCCCTAACCCTTCTTCCTCCCACTCACCCAAAAAGCACCCTATCCTCTGCTCCTCCATGTAGATGCTCATGTGACTCCCTTATGTCATAACAATGTCCTTTTGCTGATCCCTCCCCTACTGACATTCTTCCTGATGCTTTGCTACTTTCCCCTGCTCCCTTATTTCATTCTCTGGAGTCTTCTCTTACTTCTACAATCATTTCTTCTCATATTACCCTCTGACAGCTACTCTCCTTCTGATTTGATAAACCTTTCCTTTAACCCTATCCCCTTTTTACAAATACCCACTGTATTCCATTTGCTCCCCCTCTTTACCCTTCGCACTACCATTCTATCCTACAGCGCTCTACAACCTTTGACATCTAACACATCTTATCCTGATCGTTAACTCATTTTCACCCTTTTCACCAAAATGTGTTACCATAGTGCTATATGACCTTTGATGTCTAGCACATTTATTCCTTCTAACTATTAACCAATAACCATCTCTCATGTGCTGAAGAGCAAGCCAGATCTATTAACCAATAACCATCTCTCATGTGCTGAAGAGCAAGCCAGATCTATCCTGTTAAGGCCTGACATTTCTTTTCATCAACTTACTTCTAGTAGTTCCAGTAATTTCATAGCCTTTGGATATATATTTAAAGATGATCACGCCATCAGCAGTATTCCTTTACCAATCTCCAAAAGTCCGACCTTACACTCTCCCCTTCCCTTCATTACACCACAATCCAATGTAATATTACATGAAGACAACCAAACTCATGCCACTGCCATGCCTTCGTAATTGTTGTACCACTACCCCATTGACATATGAACCTACTTATGGCTTCATTGTCTTTCCATAGAAAAAAACAGTTGCATCTCCCTGGGCAGCTGTGGGAAAGTTGTGAGCTTGATATCTCCTTCTGCCCTGTCAAGACCTAACATTTCCTCAAACCAGTGTTTGGATATCACTGACTAGTGATGGGTGATTTTTTTTGGAATAGTTTACTTCAATTTACTTCAATAGATCTGTAATCAATTACTTTCACCTGGAAATAGATTATGCAGTGGTATAGTCATAGAGTATAAGGTATACATTTATGGTTTTAGTGTACACTCTCACTCACTCACTCACTCACTCTCTCTCTCTCTCTCTCTCTCTCTCTCTCTCTCTCTCTCTCTCTCTCTCTCTCTCTCTCTCTCTCTCTCTCTCTCTCTCTCTCTCTCTCTCTCTCTCTCTCTCTCTTTTCACGCTATTATCGATGTAATCAATCTAATCCA